GAAACTTTACCCTTTGTTAGCAATCACTTGTTAATATTTATTGAATGGTTACTATGTGTGAAATACTGTTCCAATTTTTTTATATGCATTAACTCATTTAGTCCCCATGGTAACCTTAGTTGATAGGTACCTCACTTTATAACATGAGGCATGGGGAAGGTAAGACACTTCCTCAAAGTCACATGGCCAATAAGCAGCAGAACTGGGGTTCAAATCTGAGCAGTTCAGCCCCAGATCCTGTGCACTGAACCATGTATATCTTGTGTGGGAGCATTGATGGATACTTGGGAAAGAGAGAGGGGATAAAGGAATCCATGGAGCCTCTCGATGCTTCTGGATTAAATATGTTTCAGACTGATTCACCTTGATGCTAAGGGATGTTAAAACATGCCACCTGAGTTCTGTAAAGCATCACCAGGCTGGAAACCTGCAGGAGCTTTCCTTCATGCCATTGTAATAGAGGGTACAGAGGCAACTGCACAGGCATCTTGATTTGAGAAAAGCACTTGATTGGATCTCATTAAATTTTAATCATAAACTGAATTCCAAATAAATTGAAAACTGGTTGACAGAGCACAAACAAAGGGTGATGATAAATGATGATGCATCTAGAGAGGGGATATCTTCCAGGGGACGCCTCTGAGCCAAGGACGGGAGGGATTTAATGAAGGTATTACATCCCTGCAAGAAGACAAATCACATAGCAAGGAAGAGAGGGAGGGCAGGAGTGAGCAGCCTGGGTAATTAATAAACCACATTAACAGCTCCTAAATAGTCAAGGCTGGGTGTTCACCAACCGCTTAGGTTTTTTTTTTTTTTTTTTTAAGTATTCTCTAGGTCAACCAGAGGGTTGAAGAGTTCTGTGAATGCAAAACATGCATATTTCAGATGGACATAATAAATAAATATATAAATTTATAATTGAGAGGATCCTCAGATTCAATTTGGATCAGATACTTTCCATTATAGATTCTCAAGGTCTTAGTTTTCATTCCCCAGAGAATAATTTTTAATGTGTCTTAAAGACATGAATTTTTTTTAAATCTATAAACTCATTAATGTTCTTTGTTTACTGTCCAAATGCATGCAAACTTACATAACATTGGTTTTGCTTAATGGCTCAGATTCAAACTCCAGCAAACATATGCTTCCAAGTTCACTTGCAGAACTTCCCTGTCAGAGAAATTCTTCCATTAAGTTTGCCAGAGAATTTGCAACAGTGTGAGGCCTGGATACAAGGCGGCGTTTACTGATCCCCGGATACAACCCTGCATAGGAAAACTCAGGTCAGGCAGAGCACAGCATGGTGTGAACTGACCTGATTTGAGGAAGTCTACTCTGGGGTTCCTGAGAGCAGGTGAGGGAGGAGCAGGTGGACTCCGGGGAGCAGATTCATTCTGCCACTTTGGAAGTCGGTTGTAAACATTTAGAGAACAACCTCAATCCAGCCCATGTTCTGGCTGTCGTTGTTTTTGTTTTCAGATAAGATGGGTTTTTATTAAGTACACATTTGTGATCCCTAATTCGGTCCAGGCCACAGAGCGCACGCAGGAGAGGAAGGGATGGAAAGCCAGGAAGGCGGATGGAAAGCCAGGAAGGCGTACGGAAGAGGAGAGAAGTAGGGCATGTGGGGAAGAAGTAGGGAGAGAGACTCATTTAATTGTAATTTGTTTGTGTCACGGGTCAGGTGGAAAGAGAGGAGAAGAATGAACAGAGGTCAAAGGCAAGAGAGCATTGCCTGGAAAGCCGGTAGCCACAAAAAGTCTGGACAGACAGCTCAGAGGAGGAAGCAGCTCAGGGATGTGAGGGAGACCTGTTGACCCTGAGAGGAAAAAGGGAAAACACAGAACTCCATCCGGCCAGGACAACAATGCAGCAGAGGAAAGCCAAGTTCCCTCATTGCTGAGGGAGCTGCCAAGGTCCCCTGCAGCCCAGGTCTGCAGGGGGTTGCACGGGTGGGGGCTCCCCAAGGTCCATCCCATCCCTCCCAAATAGCTTGACTTCAGCTGCCTCGGCAGGGAACCAAGCCAATCTGGCACAACTCCACAGGCCACCATGTGGAGGAAAGGCCGCCCCTCCTCAGCCAGTTTACAACTTCTGGTCTCCAGGAAGGTCTGAGTGCACACCAGAGAGCACACACACGCAGGCGCGGAATGAGCTGGGCGGTCAGGCTGCCAAGCACATGTGGGCTCCAGGAGGCCTGCTGGGCGCAAGACAGGGAATGTCGGAGGGAGAAAGGACAGCCTGGGTTTCAGGAACTAAAAATATCTTGGTGACAATGCATTGAGAAGAAATAGGAGAGGCCCAGGGGGACAGCTTCTTGATTCCAGTCCTCAGATGCTTTCTCACGAAAGGCCTGCTGGATTGTTTTGATAAGGAAATGTGATCAAACATTAGGGGTCATTTAGTTGGATCTGAAAGGAATTTAAAGTTTAATGTGCCTCATCTGTGTGCTTTTTTTTTTCCTGCAGCAGTTGCCTGCAATTCATATATGTACGTTTTTAAAGGCTAATCTAAAATTGCCTGCAGCAGAAAAATGATTTGAATTCAGGATATATCTGAGATTTTCATTCTTCGATGTGTAAAACATTGATTTAATTTAGACAAACTGCTCCACCATCTATCTTGCTGAATGCCTGTTAGAGTATGCCTGCAAATAGGACTTTCTCCTCTCCTTTTAATTTTCAGAGCATTTGAAAGTCACGAACTCCTTAATCCTGGGAGAAGCAGGCTTTAATGTTTTCTGTCTTTGCACCCTCCAAAAATGAGAATCCCTGAGTTAGAAAGTTTTCTTTCTAACACAATGACATATTATCTAGACCCCCACTCCTACTTAACCACCCCCACGCAATGAACTGGGCAGAGTGGCCGCATTAACCATCTCGACCCTCCTTGTAGAATGATTTGAAGTGGCAGTACCAGATAAGAATACGAGGCTGAGGCTGGGCCTTTAGAGATTGACACGAGATAGCAACTGAACAATAGTTTGCCTGATTTCAGATAATGGTGCATCGTTATTTGAAAGTAAAACTGGGAACTTGCTGCAGGTGAAATGTTGAAATTCCTGTACTGTCATCCCAAAGAGAGAAACATCCAAAACATGCCAAGGGCAATAACAAGGCCTCAATATCCCGCAGAAAGTTCAGCAATAACAAAAGCTCTGAATCAGTCTGTCCCAGTCAGCCAAAGCCTGTTGGAACTGTCCTGACAGAGACTAATTGCCCAAAAGAAACAATAACAATTTTTTTTTAAAGCAGTGGTTTGGAAAAGGTTAAGAATTCAGCATATCCGCCATCTAATAATGAGTCTAATCATAATCATCACCCTTCCATGGTGCTAGGATATGTTTCACTGTTTCCTTTCCCCTTCCATTAAAGGACCCCCACATCGGCAGCTCCAGCCAGGAGACGTTGCCAGCAAAGTCAGTTACTGGCTTCTGGAGCCAAGCTTGCTTGCCAGTTCTCTGCCTCTATGAGCACGGGGCGATGCTTCCTGGGTAACCCAAATGGGACATGAACTAATTCAAGAAATCCCCTGTTTTCTCCTATGTGTTTAGAGCCAATGATGACGCCTCAATTCTAGACAGCCCTCTTGCAGTGCCACTCGGCCACCCTGTCTCCTCCAGTCCCAAGGGCTGCTTTACCTGTGGCCTAGAGAACAGATGAGTGAAACAGAAATCAAAGACACTTACATGGAAGGAGCCTTGGCACCTCCAAGGCATTTGACAGTATGCTGGCTTCTGGGGGCTATAAAAGTATAAAGAAACAAAGCCCCTTTTCTTGGGCTAACCGACTAGTAGCAGGAGATAAGATTTATGTGCATAGTAATCATTATACAAAATATATCTTCTAAGACCACCCATTACGGCTACCCCTCTGGGACAACCCTAGCCTTGTTTTGTTAGACAGGAATGTAGACATCATCATATTAGTTCACACGCACTCACTTTACCGATGAAGAAATCCAGGCCTGGGGAGCCAAAGTGAATTGCCCAAGAGATGGAACCACACAAAGTGGTGAGAGCTTGGAGCCAAGTTTCCTGTCCTTTTAAAAATGTATTTACTTGAACTATTTTCTCCCATTCCTTTAAAAATCAACCCCCCTGTTCTAAGAGACCTCCTTAGCCAGGTGCGGTGGCATGTGCCTATAATCCCAGAGGCTCAGGAGGCTGAGGCAGGAGGATCGTGAGTTCAAAGCCAGTCTCAGCAAAAGTGAGGTGCTAAACAACTCAGTGAGCCCTGTCTCTAAATAAAATACAAAATAGGGCTGGGGATGTGGCTCAGTGGCCAAGTGCCCCTGGGTTGAATCCCTGGTACCCCTTCTCCCCAAAAAAGGGACCTCCTGGACCTGGAAGTCCCAAGAAGCTTGATGAGCTTCTAAAACCAAGTACTAGTTTCTTCTCTTACGCGCCCCCAAGGCTCCATCCAGTGCCAGCAAATGTCTAGCTGCTAGAGAGGAGTGGAAGGCCCGGAGAGGGGCTGGGGAGACTTACATCCAGCCCCCACAAGCTGAACCGGATTTCCTGGCCTAAGAATGCACTGTTGATTTTTTTCCCCTGCATAGAAATCAGGATAGAGAAAATTTGGGAATTTTCCTTCCCACTCTATTCCTGACGTTTTCTGGGGCTGGAAGCCAATTACTTAAGTTTTGCCATCACCAACTCCTTCTCTGGAAAAGTGGGGTTTGAATTCTTGATGGCAACTCTAGGGACACTGAGTACCTAACAAACTGTTCCCAGGCAGCTCAGTAGCCTGGGCCGCCCCTCCTCAAAGAGTTAATCTCGGCTCAGCCTGTTTGAAACACTAAACCAGCAACACATTTTGGCTGCAGACACTCACTATCATCTTCTCAGTCCAAGCTGGTCTCCCTACCAGCAAGTTAAAGGTGGAGAGAGGAGGGCAGAGGAAATGTAGGGGCAGCACATTTCAGCAAAGGAGAAAACAGTGTTTTGGAAAATGGGTCAGTGGTTAAGAAATCAGAGGAGGCAAAACAGCACTTACCTTAGATCCACTACGGACAGACAAACGGGGCCCAAGGAGTGGTCACGCTCTCTGTTTCTCTGTCTTGGGTCTCTCTCCACCGACCTTCCTCGCCTCCTCCAAGCCCAGGTAAGTTGTAGAACAGGCTCTGAAGCAGGAAGTGGAAGTTGTATGCAAATCTCTACGGAGGCTAGGAAGCCTCTGCTCAGAATCTCCCTGTGGGCAGTGAATCAACGGCTAAGTCACTTTATTTTTTTAAAACAGAAACCTCCTTCATTCACTAGAAAAAGGCAGTGACCAATTAGGCTGTATTTCTGTTTTCACCACCCGGCTAAGAAACTTCGGAGGAATGCCCTGGGCCTGGGGGTTAGAACAGGGCCCTCCCCAGGAGGTGTCTGGGAGGAGACAACTTGGGTGTTAAAGTTGCTAATGCGTTAGCAGCTTCAAAGGAAGAGGAGGATGGGGACAGATGATGGGGAGGAATAGCAAACAAGAGCTTCTGACTGTCTCCCTTAACTGCTTAAAACATTTGCTGCCCATGACCATGGAGGGGGCAGGCCCTGCCCATGCCCCCTTTCCCCCATCTCTCTCTCTCTCTCTCTCTCTCTCTCTC